GATGGATAGATGGTTGGGTGGATGGATGGATGGGTGGATGGATGGATGGGTGGATGGAGGGCTGATTGAATGGATGGATGGATGGGTGGTTCCGTGGATGGATGGGTGGATGGATGGGTGGATGGATGGGTGGATGGCTGGAGGGCTGATTGAATCGCTGGATGGATGGGTGGTTCCGTGGATGGATGGGTGGATGGAGGGCTGATTGAATCGCTGGATGGATGGGTGGTTGGTTGGGTGGGTGGATGGTACATTTGGGTGGGTGGATGGTATATTTTCCCTGTGCAGGGCTTTCTCCCACATCACCTTATCTTTCATACATGCTGAACACTATAAAAAATGTCCAACCATTAACATGCTACACAAGACACTTAGGTCATCTGATGAGGTAACCACTATGTGTTAAGCCCAGTTGAGGTCAGGACAGACATCGGAACATTTGTGACATTTTGCTGAACAACATGATCTGATCAACATCATTAAGAACATTACTCCTGTCCAAAGACCATTTAAAGTCATATTTGTTTTTATATTGGGCCATTAGGAAGAGCCAGCCTATGTGTGTGTGTGTGTGTGTGTGTGTGTGTGTGTGTGTGTGTGTGTGTGTGTGTGTGTGTGTGTGTGTAGTTGTGTGTTCCTTTGCTTGTTATTTTGGAAGCTCAGACTCCATCAATTATATTTAATCATCGTCCTGGTAATGCCAATTAAAGAATGTGTGCGACAGCAGACTGAGTGTGTGTGTGTGTGTGTGTGCTGCTAAAATAAGTTGCTTAATTACAATCAGCATCATTTTTCATCATGATTGCCATCGTCATCATAATCATCATCATTATTATCCCCATGTACTGAAGGATTTACTGTCGACTTAAATCGTATTTGAACATTTTGTGACCTGCCTGTACTTTGTGTTCCTTCAGTGTTTTTTCGTCTAATGCTTGGCCCTCCATTTGAATCCATGCAGTCAAGTAGCAGTATGATGGATAACAGGGCAAGTGTAGATCCATACTCTCAAGGGTGTGTTTAAAAGGGACTTGTGTTCTATTGCAAGTGTGTGTCCATATATATGACACTTTGTGTGCATGTGTGTCCCTGTGTGTAGCAGACAAAGGGAAACTACAGTCCTGTCAATGTTTGTTTGTGTGAAACATTGATTATTGTCTGAGCAATCAGCAGTAGCTTGAGCCAACAGACAAATATACAGAGCAAGCGGGCGAGTGTGTCCATTGACCACACACGAGCCATTAAGCAGCAATCATCCTTTTTTTCCCGTCCTGTTTAGTATTCCTGAAGGATGATAGCTACAGAGCAAAGACTCACATATATCAAGTTTGGAACATGTTTTTTTCTGAGGATACAAAACAGCTGCAGGGCCAAATGCTGAAAGGCCGACGAGGTTGTAAAGACTTATGTACTCCATATGTGTAGATCAACATGAAAATGTTTTCATCAGCCCGGATTAGTGATCCTTTTGATTGATTGCTGGCCTTTTCAGGGTGTGCCGACCTCTTGAGACCAAAACAGCTGGATTACTTGGATGTGTTGATGACTTTCCTGAACCATTTCTTAATCACAAAATCTTCCATTTCTTCAGTTTTTTTTTACAACATAACCTGAATTCCAATACGAAGGACAACAGGATGAGGATCCTTGTTGATGCAGATATGGAGGCAGCTAAATGTGTGCAACATTTCCAAAAGTGGGGTCGCTGGTGGCGCAGTGGTTAGTGCGCGCGCCCCATGTATGGAGGCTTTGCTCCTCCAAGGCCCAGGATCCAATCCCAACTGTGGCTCCTTTCCCGCATGTCATTCCCTACTCTATCTCCCTGGTTTCTGAATCTATCCACTCTATCAAATTATTGGGGTTCTAATTGCTTCACTGTTTGTTAAAAAATACAACTCATTCGTTCTGCTGCTTTACTTCCCTGAATAATAACACTTCTCCAGCTATCATTTACTATCCATAGCCATGTTTCAATTCATATTTCTATCTCTAACCCTGGACCACTGATCTTATTGACACTCAATCAATGAGGTGTAAAGACTGGGTTCTTATTGGGTTCTTGACTTCCATTGATCCACACTTGAACCTTTTCACCCTTTGTTCATGTTCCCATCTAGCCCCTGATGCTCAGTAAGAAGTCGTCGGCATGTCAAACAGCTATAGGAACCAGTTTCACTCACTGCTGTATCGACATTTTGACGCATTGCGAGCAGTTTTAAAATATATATCACCCTCTATGTTACCCACACGGCGTGCTGACACACTTACAAAAAAAAAAAACTGCCAAGAAAACAATTAAAATGAGCACAAAACCCAATTAAGTCGGATTTAACCCATATTTGGCCTGTCGGGATATCATCTGTTGACTTTTCCCAATCTGTCATCCTCTGCTGTCACACTGCTGAAATGGTACAAACTGTCCTCTCAGACAAAACCGTTTGGCTCATACTCCGTCACTGTTTGCATCCAAACTCAGTTCATCAAAATGTTTTCTCAGACTGACACAGAATGACACAATGTGACACCGGCTGATAACAGCTGAATACTTCTCACATTAACAGAAATCAAATGTCAAATCATTCAACACCGACCGAACACAAACACCTTTTTGCAAATTTGTTTGCCTGTCACATAGTTGTCATGTCAGGATATTAATATTTGGGTGTCTCTGCTGTCAGCAGACTGGAGGGGAGTATGCTCTTTCACCGCACCCCTCCTGTGCCCCAAAGACAAATGTTGAATGACTGAGATCCCTTTTCAAGCTAGTTGCAAACCTAAGGACAAAGCCTGTCTCTCTACTGCATCTCTCTGTCTCCAGAATAAATTCAGTAAGTCAAAGCTGTCTTTGTAACACTGGACTGACTTTGTCTCCTAGGGAAGCAAGCTTTAAGACAAATAACAAACCCTATCCTTCAAGTTGCATCACTTTAACTGTGCCCTCTTAGGCCACCTGAGGACATACGACTGATCTCTGAATGGTAAATGTACTTGAGCTAGCACAGCTCTTGTCTAGTCTTCTGACTACTCAAAGCATATTACCCCGTATGCCACACCTACCCATTCACACACTGGTGGCAGAGTTTGCTATGTAAAGTCACTATCAGAAGTAATTAATCCCATTAATGTACATTCATACGACGAATCAGTGCAAGCAATTCAGGGTTAAGTGTCTTTCCCAATGACGCTTTGGACATGTTGCCGCAGGAGCTGGGGATCGACCTTCCCGTTGAGAGACGACCGACTCTACCAACTGACCCACCGCCGCCCCAATAGTTTCAATGTTCAAGGTTGTCTTTATTATCCCTATGGCAATTCTTTTTGCAGTCAGCAGTAAAAACATACATTCATCCAGCCAACAACCAACATACAACATAAGAAGGACACTCAGAGGTGAAAGTCAAAACAGATGAAAAGGCAACACAATGAGTCATTTAAAGGGCGATGGCAGCAGGAACATTCGATTCTTTGTCCTACATGCTGGCAGGCTGAATCTGCGGCAGGATAGAGGCAACTTAAACTCCTTGGACAAAGGATGGCAGTGGTCAGCCAGGATTGACTGGGCCTTCAATCTCTTTACTTTATACAGGCGTGTTAGGTGAGACAGTCATGAACCTGCAATTTTGCCACACTATTTTTTTCTGCACTCTGTTGCTGTTCTTAATGCTGAGTGACCGCTACCAAGTGACTATAGAGAAAGTTAAAATCGACTAGGAAGGTTACATGCTCTTTCCCAAGACAGGAAAACCTTCAGAATTTGGCAGCATTAACACAGTTATTATGATTGTTCTGTCCATCTTCATTCTCCTCCTCAATGGCTACAATTAAATCTTCTGCAAAAGACGTATGGGTCTCCTGAAATTCAGTAATAGCTCCATATTTCCATCACGCAAGGCAGACGTTTTGCACTTTGACTGATCTAAAAGTCTTGCAATTAGATTTCATGAGGCCTTTATGAATATCCATAACTGCCTTGATGGACCTGAGGATTGACTTGACCTTGTATCATATGCCCTGGCTTGCCTTAAACCTTCACTAGAAGTCCTAACAAGTGCTCTTTGATGACATATTTTCTCGACCTGTTGCACTGGAGTTTGTCTCATTTTCTCTCAACATCCAAAGAAACCAATCAGACAACATTTAGGGAAGGACTCCTGACTGTTGCAGGTCTGATATTAGATTAAAAGATTAATTGGATAGTTCTTTAAATACTTAGCAAGTTAGACACGTGGGCACAGAAAAGGATTACCATCACAGAAAAGGTCAGTCTGTGATTGTCTGAAGTTCTGCCAAGAGTTTGACTTGCTATCAGGGCTGTGATCAGTTCTGTGATGTTGACATTTGCAGGTACAGAGGGAAAAAAATGAATGTGGATGTACAAAAATGAGCTCAATGTTAGAGGAGGGCAGCCTGTCTTTAATTCAATGTTTTTATTCAATACTGGAGAAGAGATTCAATACACATCCCACTATATAACAAGCAGACATCCTATTAAGCAAATGTGGGCGTTCATGCAGAGTCCTGGCAGGGATATTGTAAGCAAGAACAGCAGTTGATAGCTGGTATGATATTGCAATTATCAGCTTGGCATGCTCCAACTCTTGGATCACTTGCAATATAACAGTGTGCAATGTCTCAGTCTCAGAAGCAATAATTATTTCAATGGTTGCTCTGGAAAAATGTTTTGGGAATAATGACAGGGCGCACATCACTGTGTGCTGTCAGCAGCTGGGGAGTGGGTGGCTGCTGAGATCAGGAGTTGACATCTCCAGCAAGGATTGCTTAAATATTGGGTGAGATTTAGAAGCATGGAAATGTTTTGTTTTTTTTCGATTAAAGTGAGAAGCTGTATAGAAAGAAAACAATAATTATAAGCACTCAAAGCAGATTAAATCATCTGTTTACTTATTCTATTGATGGAAGGACTCGCCTGATAGACAGTCAGATCATTTTGTGTGAGAACATCTGTTTTTAAATGTTTTTTACAGGAAGTAATTACTCACCATAGAGGATGTTGATGAGGGAGACTGGCATAACCAAGATGCCTACTAGCATGTCCGCCACAGCCAGTGACCTCAGGAAGAAGTTGGTGGCGTTCTGGAGCTTCTTTTCCAGCGACACTGCCAGAATCACCAGGATGTTTCCACCGATTGTCAGTGCGATGATGACGAGTATGAGCAGGGCCGGCCAGTTTTTCTCTTTAATCACCGTCCTTGTGACAGACTCCTGGGTAAAATTGTCCACGCCTCCACTCATGGCCGCCGCACCTCCACCACCGCCTCCAAGCCCGATCCCCCATGAGAGGGTTTGGTTGAGGTCGAGGGGGTTGTTGCTCGGCCAAGCCATCCGACTTCCAACCTCCAGTGAAGACGTGGTTGTACTGAACCCACCCAGTAGAGCCCTTGCTGGGCCGCCCATCCCAAAGACAGAGCCTTACCCAACAAGGAATTCAAAGACAGACTTAGAACTATCCTTCTTCACCAGCAAAGGGAAGAAAAAGGTGTAATGAAAGATACCTTAAGCATTGAGCTGGACAGAGTCGAGAAGTTTTGGAAGGTGTCTTTGGTAATGGAATTGTGATGCTAACAGAATACCAATATCAACAGGGTTGGGGTAACGGGAAAAACAGGGAGGGAGCAACTTTGGGGATGGGGAGTGAAAGGGAAGAAGGGATTGGGAGGAACTAGCTCCTAGAGTTTTTAACTTGATCCAATAAGGTATTGCTAGCTGCAAAAAGGAAATAGTTCTCTGAAGTTCGGATCTGCCATTTCTTGCCAATGGGTCACTGGCCAAGAGTTCTCAACGTGTACAAGAAGCAAATGCGTCCCAAAAAATGTCTCGTTTGTTTGGTGTTCAGTCACATCCACCTCTGAATGAAAACAAGAGTTCAAGAGTTTTAAATTTAAAGCTCAAAATTGGTTCCTTCATATCCATGGCTACCACCTGGTAACTGTTCGCGCCAACAGATCCCTTGACAGTGAGTTTGCAAAGAAGTACTTCAGTTAACGTCTGCACTCAGCGGTAAACCTTGATGCTGAGGTTGGTTGTATCGGGGTCCTTTAAAGGTTCTGTTCTTCTTGCCAGTCAGAGTTCAGGACCAGGTTGTTCTGTGGAAGAAACCAAAGAGAAAGATGTGATCAGATTTTCCTTTTAACACCTGTGGATTCTTGCTGTCCAATTTCATTTACATCTATGCATTCATTGATCTTATAGTCTTCCTTATTTCCTTAACTTTATCTTGCTTTATCCTTTTTTAATTACTCCTTCTACCATCCTCCTTTCGATTGGATCCCTATTTGGTTTTTCATTGTTTTCCTCCATTCACTAACTTCCCTTTTTGGCTTCTTAAAATCTCTCCTCAAACGTTCCTATCCATCAACTTGGCAACTCTATTCTTCTCTCTTTCTTTGTTCATTCTGTTCCCTTCTTATTTTTTCCCTTCTTTGTTTCTTCTGAGCCTTAAGACAAATTAACGATATTGTCCCTGCTCTTGATAAAAGTTAAGAGGAAAGTCTGACTACAAGTGTCAAACACTGCAGTCATTTAAAACACACTAAAAGGAGATAAAAAGCAACAGAAGCTTTGATGTTTACAACCTCCACATCTTTTGTCCATGTGTGTGTGCTGTTTGTGCAAAAGTATCGCCTGTCCTCTGTATTTACCCTTACGGATCAGACTGCCTTGTGATTTAGGACCTCGTAAATGTCCTCAAGGGTATGAGGAGGAGTCTGAGTGTGTTAGAGAGAAAGTGTGTGTGAGTGCACTCATGACTTTGCTTCCAACAAACAGCAGGACGGAGCGTGACAGACGGTTAAAAACCAATGAGACGTTCTTCAGAATGTGTGGGCACATGTTAAGAGAATTAAAAGTAAATGTGTGTTTGTGCTTCATCGTGTGTGTCTGTCTAGTGTGTCCATTTCTGGAGTGTGAGATAAAAAAAGGCAACAAATCTCCAGACGGACTCGGGCCCCCAGCTGAGATACTTCAGTGGGCGTTTCGCCAACGATAACATCAGGCGGAGTACAATGGATTCTTTTTTTATTCGTCGCTATAAGCACTATAACAAAAATCCACGCTTTGCACTCTTCATTCTGTGTGGGCATGTTATCATTTGTTTTGCTTAATGTGGAGATGTTGTTTCGAAATATGGGTTTGCTCGTGTTCATTTATGTCTGTTAGTGCAAGTGATTGTGCATGCATGAATAAACGTTGCAGTCGTTCACATGATTCTTAATGCAGATTATGCGTGTGTGTGGGCAGATTTTTTTTTTTTTAATTCAACAATTCCTCATGCACTTAAGATGAAACACTGCACATCTGAACCAAAATGATTTATATGATTGTTTTTGGAGCCTTGAAGATGTACTTTTTGGAAATATATCTACATTTTATGATTATCATTGGATCTTAAACTACCCTTAGTATTCAACTACATCTGGTGGGGGAAGGGTCCAGTTTCAATGCCTAAACAAAGGCCAAGGCTACATGTAAAACAGGAATATGGGGTTATATATCACTGGAACAGTTTTCAGTGCGTTATGCCTTAAACATCAGCAATATGATAATTCTAAAAATACATCTTAAAGTTTTCAGGGAAGCACCTAAAGAGGATTTTGAACATCAGCATGTAAAGTTAATATCTATAATAGGTTAATTTTGATGATTGGTTTTGCATTTTAGTCAAACTTTTGTACATCAGGGACCCCGAAATGGGCAATAATTGTCATGATTTGGTCTTATTTGGTTTTGTATTTCAGTGTTTAGGTTTCCATGTTTTAATTTCTCCTGTCTATCCGTGTGTTGCTTGTTGCCCTTGTGTGTTTTTGTCATAGTGTTTCATGTATTTATTTTGAAAGTGTTCTCAGTGTTTCTTGTCTTGTGTTCATTCCTTCCTCTGTGTGATTGCCCTCATTGTCTTCACCTGTGACATTAGTCTCACGTGTTTGATTACCCCCGTGTCTATTTCGTCTCTGTGTTTCTTCCCTTCTGTGTCAGTTCATTGTCGTTTGTAGTTATGTCAGATATTAGTTGTCAGTTGTCAGTTTTCTAGTGTCTCCTTGCTGCTCCTTGTTTTCTAGTGTCTCCTTGTGCGTCCTTGCTGCTCCTTGTTTTCTCCTGTTGGATTTTGTTTGTAAGTTTTGTTTTCCTTTTTTTTGATTATTAAATACTTTTAGTTTATTCTGCACTTGGGTCCACCTCTCCTTGTTTTCCAACCGTTCATGACAATAATTTGGCTGCGGTCCACTGCTTTCAAATAGAAACAAACTACTTTACATAAAATGCAGATTAAAACTAATCAAACCTTAAAGGTCACATATTCTCCTCCTTTTCAGAAAGTTTAAATAAGTCTCAGAGCTCCTCAAAATGTGTGTGAAGTTTCTTGTTCTAAATCCGCTCTGATCCTGTATTTGATCATGCCTATAAACCCCTCTATTTCAGCCCTGCTCAGAACAGACTGTTTCTGTGTCTATACCTTTAAATATGTAAATGAGCTGTGTCTGACCACGCCCCCTCTCTGGAAGGGTTTGGGTGTACTCTGGCTTTCTCACTCCATGCTCGATTGTTTATGCTGAGAAGGCAGACTCAGAGGGCAGAACAAACACCTAGCTGTGGGAGTGTCACCCACCTGGGAGAGGGGTTACTGCCCTTTGTGATGTCATGAAGGGAAAATCTCCAAACAGCCTGTTTGAGCACACATTTTCTGAAAAGTGGAGCAGGCAAAAGACAGAGAGGACGGACTTTTATCTTAATTGGGAGTTTGTAGACAGACTAGGGACACATATTAGTGTTAGAACAACATGGTAAAGTGTCATTTGCATAATATTTTACCTTTAGATATAAAAGTAGAGGAAGTAAATGTCTCTGGGAGGGTCAAATCTTGTACATGTGACTGCAGCAGAAGCAAATACCTGATTATGATTTGTTACTATAAAGCGAGAAAGGCATGAGAATAAGCGATAAACCTGAGTAAAAAATATATATAATCCATTACCCCAATAGAGTGCCTTGTTGTCACAACGGTTGGTATTCATTGGCCAACATTTAAAGCTGCTGCTGTGTACTGATATGAAACCTGAACCATCGCATGTTAAGCTTCACACCACACAAACACGAATGCAGGTAGCATTGTTTGCCTTGGTCGGCCCGTTTTAATAAGAAGAAAATCCCCGCATCCCATTTCCCCCCTCTTACACCACCACCGTCTGCTGTTTTATCTCGCCGAGCAGAAATGGCTTAAACAAACATGAGTGCGGTGACAATTTGTCCCCGCGGTGAACGGGAAAAAGTGACGGCGGGGGCAACATCTGTGCTTCTGATCCATGTGTGCAGCTGTATCTGTGTTACGCTGTCTAAGAAGTCAGACGGGGAATATTTCACAGTCACAACACCAATTATAACCTCCAGATGATTTGACACACACCAGCTCGCTGTGTGACTAATGAAACTGTGTGTTTTCATGCGGTATAGAGAGCTAAAAGTGTACGATTACAACAGAAATAGTCGATAACTGTTTAAGTAAATATACATTTTCAAATAGAGATGAGGATTTTCTGTAAGTCTCACTCTTTTTCTTCCTCTTTCTTTCATCTGTTTAGGCTGTCTAACCTCCCTCCTCGTCCTCTCTCTCTCTCTCTGTGATGCATTGCTGCTCTTTCAGACTTGTTAAATGACTCGCCCGCAGAGCTGTTCAGTTCCCTGTGAACTCTGAGAGGAGGCGATAGGAAGCTGACTGAGTATTGCACAGTAAAACCTGACAAGTTGGCTCAGACCAAACCATGTCACAAAAACTCATAGCCTCAAACCATTGGCGGCGTATACAGATGGACGATATGTCTCCATCTCTTTTTGTCGCATAAAAGTGAAGCTAAGGGGCACAGATGGCCGAGCAGTAAAGTCAGGCCCCATGGACAGATTATATGGTCCTCCAAGCAATTGTTGATTTCAATCTGTGGGTCGTTTCTCGCATGTCATTCCCCACTCTCTCATCCCGATGGCTAACTGTATCTATTCGTCTGATCAATCTTTTAGCGCTTTTAGCTAACCTGCATTTTTCCTGAGTTTTTCCAAACAAACTGCTGTTGCACCTGCTTTATAAAAAAAATACATGTCCTCCCTTTTAGTGCAGAAGAAAGAGAAACATGTAGCAGGAATTCAAAAGACAGAAAGCTGAATAAACTCAAAATGCTGAGTCAGGGTTTGGTTTAGCTTGACGCTAAAGCAGCATATCTTCTGAAGCCACAAACTCTAAAAACAAAAAAAAGACTAGATGTAAAGAGGAAATGCGTCACTGAAGATTCTTTATTCAGAAATATTGAGCACTAAAAGGTGTTATGTAGAAAATGTGTGTTTTACAAAGTGATTCATGTGCAGAAAGTGAAAAAGGCAGATATGAGGGACAAAAAAAAGCAGAAAGGAAAGCAAAGGAGACACAACATCAAGAGAAAGACTTCAGTAAATCC